CTCTACATTGTATAACAATACTACATAATAACATTATTACCCTAACTACTTTTTCACAATAAAACATTATTACATAAATACTTATATACTTAATATTAAAACCTATAACATCACAACATTACATTGCATTTAGCTGACGCTTTTATCCAAAGCGACTTACAATAAGTACATTCGACCAGGAAGACACAACCTTGAAGAAAACAGAATCATAAAGTACATCAGGTTTCATAGAGCCAAACATTTCAAGAGCTACTCAACTGGCTTTAGATAAGCCAGTCCTTTATTAGTATATAAGTGCTTTGTTAATAGTTCTATCGCTCGAAGTGGAGTCAAAAGAGATGAGTTTTCAGTCTGGAAGGTGTGTAAGCTATCTGCCGTCCTGATGTCAATGGGGAGCTCATTCCACCATTTTGGAGCCAGGACAGCAAACCCACGTGTTTTTGCTGATGGGAACTTGGGTCCCCCTCGCAGCGAGGGTGCAGCGAGTCGTTCGGCTGATGCAGAGCGTAGTGCACGCGCTGGGGTGTACGGTTTAACCATGTCCTGGATGTAGGAAGGGCCAGATCCATTCGCAGCATGGTAAGCAAGTACCAGTGTCTTGAAGTGGATTCTAGCAGTTACCGGAAGCCAGTGAAGGGAGCGGAGGAGCGGAGTGGTGTGGGAACATTTAGGAAGGTTGAACACCAGACGAGCCGCTGCATTCTGGATGAGCTGCAGAGGTCGGATGGCACATGCAGGTAGACCAGCCAGGAGGGAGTTGCAGTAGTCTAGGCGTGAGATGACGAGAGCCTGGACCAGAACCTGAGTCGCTTTCTGGGTCAGCTGGGGACGTATCCTCCTGATGTTGTAAAGCGTGTATCTGCAGCAACGGGTTGTAGCAGCGATGTTTGCAGTGAAGGACAGGTTGTTATCTAGGGTCACACCCAGATTCCTTGCAGTCTGAATCGGGGAAACAACTGAGGTGCCGATGTTGATAGTCAGGTCAAGAGCAGTGGCGTAGCTGTGGGTGGGCCTGGGCCCACCCACATGCACGTCTGGCCCACCCACAGCCAATCAGCGCTTCATAGCGCAGAGCCGGGAAGCCCAGAAGGAAGTGCCACAAACTGCAGTTCATCTAGTGGCCGACAGGGGATGGATGCAAAAAGGAGCAATTCCCATTGACCCCCATGTTAACATGCCCAACTTTACAGCAGAAATAAACATGTTTCTAGTCTGGATCCAATAAAACTTATTCTGGATATAGTTAGATTCCACCTTCATGACAATGGAACAGGGAGTGCATTTTTTTACCGTGAGTTTTTATAGTAAGTAAAGTAACTTTTGCCGTGAGTGAATGAAAGTATTATTTCTTCTTGAGGTCTGCAGTTTAGCGTGTACACATTTGCTGAATATGAAAACACTCAGTGTGTGCCCACTGTGCGACTGCGTCAAGGATAAACAACCTGTGGCCCCGATATATGTTGTATGTATTATTGCTACACAAACATTACATTGCAGTTTAAGTGTCGCCAACTCCGTTTCTAATATGCAAAAAGACAGCAAAATGCGTCTGATTATTTTTAGTATTTTAGATCTTTCCAATCCAGACAAGAGATCTCTCCCGTCTGTGTGCGAGGGGGCGGGGCAGTTTACACACACGCAGCTGCTACATGCAGCAACACACACACACACGGAGGAGATGGCGGAGAGAACGCGCTCCGAGGTGTGGTTAAACTATAGCCGTGTCGATGCTCGCTGCCTAAAGTGCAATAAGAGTTTAGCATGTAAGGGCGGCAACACGAGCAATTTGTCTAAACATTTAGCAAAAGAGCTCCACATCCAGACGGAGAAATGCACCGGGTTCCACTTTCTTACTAGCAGCTCTGTAGCCCCATCCACGAGGAACGTTTCCACGTCAGGTGTTCTGTATGCTAGCAGCAACACACGGAGTTAACTCAATTATACAAACATGGGTTAATGATTAGAGGTAACAGAGTTATTTATTTTGTTAAAGTTTCAGCTATTCTGTCGTCAGATTATTTAATACGATTTGTTAAAACATTGTTGTTTCTTTTGATGTGAAATATTATGTATTTAATTTAAATAAAAAGCAATGTTAGTTTTGTTCACAATTTGTTTAGTTAGTTTACCTTATTTTTCTCTCCAAAAGAACCGAGAAAAGTAATGTTAAAGGACCGGATCGATAAGCGCTATCGTTAAAAGTAGTACCGTTAAAACCTTAACGATACCCATCCCTATGTGGATGTCAGTTTTACACACATTCTGAGGCCGCCGTGCCTATGTTTTTTGTTTTCACTGCTAATTTATGCTTATGTTCTATTAGTGCATTAAAAAATCATTAAAATCATTAATGAAGTTTCAGCCCACGCTTAATATGTCTCCCCCTGGCCCACCTACATTTCTCCAGGCCCACCCACACAATAATTCCTGGCTACGCCACTGGTCAAGAGTGGGACAATCTTTTCTCGGAAGGAAAAGCAGCTCAGTCTTGTCATGGTTGAGCTTGAGGTGATGAGCAGACATCCACTGAGAGATGTCAGCTAGACAAGCAGAGATGCGTGCGACGACCTGGGTCTCTGAGCGGGGAAAGGACAGAATTAATTGGGTGTCATCAGCGTAGCAGTGGTATGAAAAACCATGCGGGCTAATGACTGATCCGAGCGAGTTTGTGTACAGGGAGAAGAGGAGGGGACCAAGAACAGAGCCCTGAGGGACCCCTGTAGTTAATTGACAAGGGTCGGACTCAGACCCTCTCCAAGTTACCCTGTAGGTGCGGTCTTTGAGGTATGAGGTGAGGAGGGAAAGTGCAGAGCCTGAAACTCCAAGTTTTTGGAGAGTGCGAAGGAGGATCTGATGGTTCACCGTGTCGAATGCAGCAGACAGGTCTAAAAGGATGATGACAGAGGAGAGGGAGGCTGCTTTAGCAGTGTGAAGTTCCTCAGTGACAGCAATGAGAGCAGTTTCTGTGGAGTGACCTGCCTTGAAACCAGACTGGTGCGGATCCAGAAGGTTGTTCTGATGGAGATAACAGGAGAGTTGTTTAAAGACAGCGCGTTCAAGTGTTTTAGACAGGAACGGGAGGAGAGAGACAGGCCTGTAGTTTATAACATCAGACGGGTTGAGAGTGGGTTTCTTTAGGAGAGGGTTTACTCTTGCCTCCTTGAGACTGTTTGGAAAGTGACCAGAAGTTAGAGAAGTGTTGATGAAATGGGTGAGAAACGGTAGAATATCAGGAGCGATAGTCTGAAGGAGGTTTGAAGGGATAGGGTCCAGAGGACAGGTGGTAGGGCGGGCAGAGGTAATGAGGGTAAGAACCTCACTTGGAGAGAGAGGGGAAAAGGATGTCAGTGTGTTGGTGTAAGGAGGAGCTTTTGGAGGGTCCAGGAGGGTGGAGAAGATGGAAAATTGTTTTTTAGGATTGGAATAGGAAGATTGGATCTTATCTTGAAAGAAAGTGCTTTTTGCCTGAGAGATCGAAGCAGAGAAAGAGGAGAGGAGAGCTTGATAGGTTAGGAGGTCGTCACGGTGTTTGGATTTCCACCGTTTCCGCTCTGCTGCCCGAAGGACGGTTCTATTAGCACGCAGTGCGTCATTTAGCCAGGGAGCAGGAGGGGACTGACGAGCCTGCCGAGATGTGAGAGGACAGAGAGAGTTCAGAGAGGATGAGAGAGTAGAGAGGAGAGTTTCTGCAGCAGAGTTTGGAGGCAGGAGTTGGAACGAGTCAGAGGAAGGGAGGGCTGAGAGCACCGATGAGGCAAAGGTAGAGGGGGAGAGGGAACGAAGGTTACGGCGGACAGGTGCAGGATGAGAAGAGATTAGTTTGTTATGTAACAGAGAAGTCTAATTAAACAAGAATATAACTTACAGTGGTTGCTGCATCAATAGGTCATGTCGTCACCCGGTCTAGATGCACACTGAGTTCATCAGATTTTAAATGCGGTATTTGAATGCTTTTTAGCTGGAAGATGACTAATTTACGCTGTTGTACTTCATGCAATCAGCAGAGTGGCCCTGCCTATATTGTAATGCAGGCTTGAGTGCCCACTGCGACCTGTGTAACAGGTTCCCTTGAGCAGATCTGAGATTTAAAATCTCTCAAAAGCGCACTTTTAGCTCTGATATTGGCTTTCATTGCTTCCAGGTCAGCTTCTTGTTTTTCAAGTGAGTGTTTCTGTGATAAGGCAGCAGCATGCGCTACAACCCTGTCTCCTAAAAATGACGTTCCCACAGAACTAAGCTGCATTCTCAATTACGTTTAGCTAGAAACGTATTTTCTCCCACGTCACGTTTGTTATGAACGTATCTCAAATACGTTTATTTTCTACATATCTTTGCCATGTATTGTCTTGCTTATAATAAAGATAATAGTCATTTATAAATATCATTTTAGAGCACACATTTGAAATCGAGAATCGGGCTCGATATATGGTTAAATTAAAATCAGTAGGCGAGGCTGTAATTTCGCCAGCTGTTCCTCTCATGAGCGAGGCAGAAAATAATAGTTTTAACAGCCAAAAAGCTGCTGTGTCGTTTATTGCTCCTCAAACATTAAAACAAATCCAGAGTTACGTGTTTCTTGTAATTTCTTGTATTCGTAAGATCTATCAAACTATAGATCCTACATATCGACTAGACGTGGATTAAAAAAGTACAATATACACTTATCGCTAGAAATCGAATCAAAAAGTGTTTTAATGGCCAAACTATCCTACAATTTAGGATTTTACAGAGAGGGTTATTTGTGAATAAACGACCCTCTGTAACGTTTGCATTCAACGGGAGCACTAGAGGCCGACAACTTTAAAACGGGATTATAGGACGTATTAAGCGCTTGAACAAACGACACATTTGGTCGTCTGAGCAGGAGGACTTGTTGCCAAAATGATATTGGAGAACTCTTGGTGGATTTAGGTGTACAAACACTAAACTGCATAACCTGAAGGTCTTTTTTTTATTATATATTCAGTAGCTTTTGAGCTAATATCTTTACTTTTCTACAGGTGCATCTCATCAAAATATGAAAACATCAAATACAAACACGAGATCATTCCAGGATCTCCCTCTATCTACCGGCTGATACCAAAACAAAGCAACATAGGATCTATAAGAAGACTGACTCTCGGTGAAAGAGATTCAACAAAGATAAACAAAACCATCTTGCTTGTTGGTGAAACAGGCGCAGGAAAATCAAGTCTGATCAACGCTCTGGTTAACTTCGCCCTGGGAGTGGAGTTTGAGGACAATGTCTGGTTTCAGATGGTACAGGAAAAGGAGAAGAGTCAAACAGAAAGTCAGACGTCAGACGTGATCGTGTACGAGGTCTTTGGTCTTGAAGACAGAACTCTGCCCTTCTCTCTGACCATCATCGATACTCCCGGATATGGTGACACCAAAGGGATTGACAAAGATGTCCTCGTCAGTGAAAGATTGTTGGACTTGTTTCGCTCAACAGATGGAGTTCATGAGATCGATGCAGTGTGTCTGGTGCTGAAAGCGAGTGACAATCGACTGAGTGACCGACTGATGTACGTCTTTGATTCAGTGGTGTCTCTGTTTGGAAAAGACATAGAGAAGAACATCGTTGCCCTCATCACACACTCAGATTTTTTGACACCTACAAATGTTCTGCAAGCTCTGAAAGAAGCAAAAATCAGGTGTCCAAAAAACCAGAAGGATCAGCCTGTTCATTTCATGTTCAATAATGCCCAGAAAACAGAGAAAAATGAAGATAATGAGGATCATATAGAGTATATATGGAACTCAACAATGAAGCAAATCAAAAAATGTGCAGTTTTCCTGAAAAATACTGAACCTCAGAACCTAGACAAAACCATTGAAGTGCTGAAATCACGCATCAGACTGGCAGCCTGCATCCACAACCTGCAGGAGAGAATTCAATTCATTGAACTGAAACAAAGAGAGATCCAACAGACTCAGGAAGGTCTGAAGAAACACGAACAAGACATGAAGAATAACGAGGACTTCACAATAGAAGTTGATGAAGTCTATAAAATAAAAGAACCTGTAGAAGTTAGGGAGAGTTGGTGGAGGTATTTAGGGTTAAATAATGCAGGAGCTACCTGCTGTGACGACTGTAAGGAGACTTGTCACTTTCCATGCGAAGTGGCCTCGGGTCCACGTAAGTGTGATGTCATGCGAAATAAATGCACAATATGCAACAAAGAGTGTAGTATATCAGGTCATGAGAATGAGCTCCACTGCACATCATGTACTGGAAAGTGTCATGTATTAAAACATGTGAAAGAACAACGATGCACTGAATGTGAGGATGAGTGCAGGGATCCAAGTCATCCAAAAACACCCTGGAGATATGTGACCAAGACAAAGAGAGTTACTAGGACCATACATCAGATGAAAGACATGTATGAGAAGAGTGAAAAAGGCAGTGAAGAGAAAGCTAGCCTCTTGGAAACTCTCCAGAAGATCATAGAAGAACTTCAGAAAGAAAAAGATCAGTTGCTCGAAGAGTCTTTCCAACATGTTGAGAGACTGGAGGAGATCGCCATGAAGGTTGTTTCACTCTCCACTCATGTCCACCTGGACGTCCTGATTGAGAAGATGAAGGAGAAGGGAGACACAGAGAAGGCCATGAAACTGGAAATGATGAAAAGTAAAATGGAGGAAAATCCAAGAATAAGATCAGTTCTGAGTTACATGTCTACAGCAATTGGTAAAACAGCAGCTTCTGGTAAAGCCGTTTGGGATCGCCTCAGAGGAAACACAGCTGAGCAGAAAACAGGCTCTACACTTTGATGAAAGGTATTTCATTATACCAAGTGTGATGCTGATAAAATGTGATTGACTTTTTTATCTTTGTAATTCCTGGAAACGGCGCCCTTTGTGTTTTACCGTTCAATAACCAATCCTTACTTCACTCTTCACGTTATGGCCAATTCATACTTACCACCTTGTGGGTTCCCTTTGTCCTTTGTGACCCAAAGTCCCTCCTCACAATGTCCGTGAAGTTCCGCATGCAGCCCAACATGTAGCTACTGTGCATGCTCCTCCAGCTGGTTACCGAGCAGAAGAGGAAGAAAACTAACTGAAGGATTGTTTGGAAGAGATGTTGTTTGAGGATACTCGTCGTTACCAGCATGAATATAATGGAGAGAGTTTGTGGAGCTCCAGACGAACACAGACCCTCGATTGTTGCTCTGGTTTCAAATTGAGGAAAGAGCCCCCCCTGCTGGTCAATGTTAGCTACAGCAGCTCTCTCTCTCCTCTGAAGCATGGCAAATAAACCAATGCATGATTTGATGACTTGATCTTTTCATGTAAAGTAAATTGACTGAGGCAAATACTTTGGAATAAGAAAATGATGCCTTTGAATCTTTAGTTGACAGTTCTGCAGAAAGACTTTGCAGCTCCTGAGGCTTTTGACTGATTTCTAAACTATGTTTGGAGTAAAAGACGATGTGTAATCATTTGTTCTGATGTTATTGTGTATTCTCCACATATGAGGATGTTCGACCTGCAGCTCACTTTCTTCAGATCACACTCATCACATTCTTTCTGCTGGAAAGTAGAAACAAGGAAAAACTCCATTTCTAGTTTTCTACGAGTTGCATTTATAACGTTTTAGATGTTCATCATGAGTTGCTTTATTTTGAGGCTTGATTGTTGTCAGTCGAGTTCATCTTTTTTCTTCATCATTGAATCATTTGTGCATAAAATGCTGATGTTCGTGGTGTTTCTTTAACCATGTATGATGATGCTCACCTGGAATGTGCTGTTTATGAAACAGGTGTCAGTGACGACAGAGTTGAAAGAAACGTCTCCTGTTTTTAAGATTTGCATTCAGTTACTTTGCATTTTTACCTTTTTAGATATTAAGCATTTATGGTTTTATTTTGAGACTTGAGTTTCAGCAGTTTAGTTCAGATTCTTCATCATTTAATCATTGTTATCATTTGTAATCATTTGTAACCATATATCAGTGAATCAATAAAAACAAGTAGACTGTTGTGGTCTACTGAAAGAGAGCAGCTCCTTCTATCATCGTCTGACCTCTGAGCAAAGCTCGATGCGGCCTCTTGGGGTTTAGAGGAATGTATCATTACATTATAAATACATGTTAGGTGTTGACCCTAATTACAAATCCTCTCCACAGATATTTAGTTTTCTTAAAAACAAAAACAGATGGTTTTCTGATTATGGGGAAGTTGTTGGTGAAAAAGTAATAAATATGCAAAGTATGTGATTCAACAACATGTAAATAAATGTTTTAAAATATGCTATAGGGAGACATTTCATTACGTCTCCTGAAGTTTCATTCTAGATTAGACATGTGCAAGTTTATGAATATTTAATATAAGAGCACAAGTTTGGTTCTTTATTTGAATCAAGATGAAACATGTAGAGTAACTAGCTCCATGTAGTGCTGTAATTAAATAACTAAATACAAGTTATTGCATCTGTTATAGAGGGCTACAAAAGGGTTGCATCAGAATATATACTTTTAGTAAGAATTGTATTTGGAGAACATACAATTAATACTATTGCTTGGTTCCAATCCCTGTGTGTGTGTGTGTGTGTGTGTGTGTGTGTGTGTGTGTGTGTGTGTGTGCGCGCTCATGTGTGTGTGTGTGCGCGCTCGTGTGTGTGTGTGTGTGCGCGCTCGTGTGTGTGTGTGTGTGTGTGATTGAGGCGATGACGATCTGCTAATAAAACATATTTGTATCTAAATGTAAAGAATTTATATTAAAACGTTTGTTTATTAATTAGATGGTTTAGACAGTCATTTTTTATAATTTATATATGTATTGAAGATATACGCTTTAAGGCCTCTTGGATGAGGGTTGCAGCCTAAATCCTTAATGTAGCACTACTGCCCTCTTCTGGATTTAATCACAATGTCGTTATAAACAGTATATATTATTTTGATTTCAAATAACTATTTACAGCTGGAAAAGTACTAAAACTTTACTCTGAACATATTCTGCAAAAAGTAAAGTAAAAGTCCTGCATTCAAAACCTGACTGTAGTAAAGTGTATCAGTGAAATGCAGTTAAAGTACTTCAAGTTAAATAATTGATTGATGCCCCCTTAGGTTAATAAACAGTTAAACAAACTGCACTAGTCTACTAACAGAATAGTGCAGCATCTCCAGCTAGCTAGTTAGCTTTACATATATCACATATTTATTATGTTATTAAAAACGTACGTCCCCAGGTCCTTATTGGGTTTGACGTTTGTGTTGTTTAATATTTGAGTGAATATAAAAACAATACTTACTTTAAAGTATTTTCCTCTGAGTCGACCGACGTCAAAACTCACTGGACACCGGCGCAATGAATTCTGGGATACGCTGAAGGATCCATCAGCTGTGTCGTCTGACTCCGGGAGATGAAGGTTTGGTTGAACGCGTTTGGAGGAGACTTCAAATGGAGCAGCCATGTTTCTCCAGATGTGTGGATTACTCCAAATATATTTGACTGCATAATCAATACTTTTACTTTAACTACATTTTGCTGATACTTTAAGGTTTTTAATGCAGGACTTTTACCTTCATAGCCTAAAGTATTTTCACAGTGAGGTATTAGTACTTTAATAGCTGTAAAACATCGCCTATTTGTCGTTAACCTCTTAAGCACTGGGGTCCCCTGTATATAGATGCCTGAGACTGTTTATTAATGTAACCCTTTTAGAAGGGAAGATATGGTCATTTGACACACTGACCTGCGTGTCGGTGATCAGATGGTTGCTACCTGCTTCCTGGCTGTGGGTTTCCTCCATGACATGATGTACTGCTCGCTAAATTCCTGGAGATAAAACATACATTAAATACAGTTTCATATTTTACTTTTAATGTGGGTTGTTACTGCAGCCTAAATCCTTAATGCAGCACTACTGCCATCTTCTGGATTCAACCAGAATGTCACCCGTTATATACAGTATATATTATTTAGATTCCAAATCCCTATTAACACCGGTAAAAGTACACCTCACTATGAATAAACTACAGGTAAAATGACTGCAATCAAAACAGTAAAAGTATTGATTGTGTAGTAAAATATAAATAAATACAATTATAACATTTTTAAATATCTATATTTGTGTGTATGTAAATGCTTTATAGTGTCACTTTAACCAGTATTATCATTATAAATGTAATATAGATGTCATGTGTCATGTCAAAAGGTTAAAGTGCACATTAACATGCAGAAGAGTTACCATAGAAATAACATGTAGTCTTGTTACCATAGCAACAACACGTTAGCGTAAGCTAACTGTTGAATATGAAACATTAGCTTACAGATTTATAAATTAACACTTTTAAGAATCGTTTGTAAAAGGGAAGAATCTCCATACCTGTAGAGAAGTGTATCCAAAGCACCGTCCACTGTGTGAAGGCACTCAGATCCTGATATAAAAGATTATATATTATAACAGTTAATATAAAATCCACTGAGGTTAAGCTAGCTGGCTAACGGCTAAAATGAGCCCATATTCTGATGGAAATCATAAATTAACTAATTTCGCGATCTCATATCTTAATAGAATTTACACTGAATTGATTTAATATTATATAGAACTAGATTACACAATTTGAAAATCACAAATTATAACTTTTATAAACACTTTTATAGACGGATTTGAACTAGAATCAACCCACCTCTCGGACCGTTGGAAAGACGCAAGCTGCATGTGCACGCAGTAGTGACGTCGACCAACTGACAAACCGCCACACGGCACACACACACACACACACACACACACACACACACACACACACACACACACACACACACACACACACACACACACACACACACACACACACATACACACACACACACACACACACACACACACACACACACACATACACACACACACACACACACACACACACACACACACACACACACACACACACACACACACACACACACACACACACACACATACACACACTGTGGTTTTTATTAATGTGCATTTTGGTACATAAACTAATACAAAATGTATATGTATATGAGGCAGAGTCCTGCATCGGATCGGGTACCCGCGGGTACTTTTTCAAACGCTTTTTTCCGGGTTCGGGTCTGGGTAAAACAAAGATGATGCGGGTCGGGTCGTGGGTATTGCATAATAAATATATTCAAATAATAATAATTTAGTTTAATGTTTAAATCCTCAGACCTCTCCCCCGCGGGACCGCGCATAATCATAACCTCTGCAGCGCTCATCTGCTGCTGAGCGCGCCACATTGGAAATGGCTGAGGTGAAGCGCTCTAGCGGAGAATACAGCATTTTCAATAACACTTCCTCAAGAGCGAAATCCAACGTCTGGAGGCTTTTGATTCGTAGATGGAGAAAATAACCAACATCCCACGCTTTTTGAGACAAATATGCAACTGCGTGTGTTAATAATTGCATGTTTTCACTGCTCATATATATGCGGGTTCGGGTCGGGTTGCGGATCTTGTGCCGACGGGTCGGGTTGCGGAACTAATTGGCAATATGTGCGGGTAGCGGGGCGGGTTCGGTATTGCACGTTGCGGGTGCGGGGCGGGAGCGGCTCTTGAAAATCAGACCCGTGCAGGACTCTGATATGAGGTCCATCCAGTGGCGAGCCGTCAGGGCCCTCTAGGCCCTCTGTGAGGGCCTAGAGGGCCCTGACGGCATGTATATGAGGTCCATCAGATACTACAACTTTGGCTGTGCGGGTGTTTTTAGTTGCTACATTATCTCCGTCCATCCTTTCGCTGTTTGGTTCTGGATTGTGTTGAGCTCGCATCATTCTCTGTAAAGGTGTTTTAGCTCCAAGTCTCACGAAGTCCAGCTGTGATAGGCCTGCTGCGCTAAAGTCAGCAGATCTATCCTCCAGCTGTATCTCTGGTACAGGGGTCTTTCCATCTTCATGCTCCATCCAGTTTCCTCCATGTTTCAAAGATCCTTTTAAATTGTGTTCCATGTTGTTTTCAAACTCTTCCAGTGTCTTTCATTTTGCATCAGTTGCTTCAATGTTTGCTTCCATTTCCAGGGATTCCAGTTTTGAATTGAATTACACTTTCTCCATTTCTAGTGCGTTTCCCTTTGAGAGCTTCAGCTCTGGCCAGCAGAGCAGCCTTTTCTGCAGCAGCTTTCATTCTCTCTGATGAAATGGATGATGATTTTGAGCCACTCCTTGAAACAGTCTGTCAGATGCATTCACAAGAGACCCACAATCAGACTGAGAATCTTTACATTTTTCAACTTTGCTTGAAAACTTTGTGAAATGTTTCATCTTTGGCTCATACCAGTCCAGAGTTTCATTTTCTCCCACATCCTCAGGTAAAAGTCTTTGCACAGATTCATGCCATGATTTAAATTCACCCAGCGGTCTTTTATATTCAGCAACACATTCATGTACATTTTCAACATCAGCATTCTCTTGCATCAGTGTATTCATTTCTTTCGTTTTGCATGTACAATGCCCAAGTTTGGTTCTGCGCATTGCACAGAGAGATTGAAATGCCTCTCGTTGTGATTTGATATTTATTTCAGTGGCCATCTCATCTGCCATTCAGTTCCTTCAGCCATCAGTTTTCCGCTTTGTATGATTTATTTGCGAGGGAATTCGTTTAGTTACATTTTTCATTCAGAATCCACTTATTTTTTGCCTGCGCTTATCCGTCTCCTTTAATCGGAATGCGCCATCAGATGTTTACTTTAATTTAGATTCCATCCGTCACTTTGGTCAAATGAACACTTCATTTCCATTGGCAGGCAGTGTTTTATCAGTGCGGTCCATCTGCTTCTTTAATCCGAGTTACTTCATTCCATTGAATAATGAAGTCCTTTCCATGAAGCTGTTGATCTGTTGGGGAATTTATTAGCTATGTTATGAACGGTCAGAAAAATCAACGCGCATCCACATTAATGATCAGATATCACCGTTTATTTAAAGAAATACTGACAAAATACTAAACAAAACTCTAAACTCTTAAACAAAAGATTCACAGCCATACGCCGTATCTTGGGTACATTTTGTCATCCAGAATTCCCCATGCGGTCTCTATCGTGCGGTGTATAAACTGTTTGCCTTCCACTCATCGTGAGCACCTGTCATCTATTAAAGGGCCAAAACCACGCCTATGTGACGCCACCATAATAATACATAGATAGTCGGCATCAATCAAAACAATAATAAATAATAAAACATCATGTACAAAACATTCATAATATTTAATTATAAATATAAATAAGATAGAAATCCAAAATGGCTTCAACAGACATTATTACTTTAGGATTACTTTGTCACATAACTGAAGAACCACGTTGTGAAAGAATTAGGCAGGTAAAATAACCTTTGTATACATTTTGAATGTTGCCTCAGGGGCGTCTGTTAATACTAAAAATGCACACCTCGTAAATGATATTGGAGAATTCTTGGTGGATTTAAGTTACACACACTAAACTCATTTACTGTAAGATGTTTTTTTATTTAAGATAAGATGAACCTTTATTAATCCCCGAGGGGAAATTCAGTTGTAGCAGCAACAGGGTGAATTTTATATTCACTAGCTTTTGAGCTAATGTCTTTACTTTTCTACAGGTGCATCTCATCCAAATACAAACATGAGATCATTCCAGGATCTCCTTCTATCTACCGGCTGATTCCAGAAAAAAAGGAAATTGGAAATATGAGCAGACTAACTATCGGTGAAAGAGATCCAACAAAGAAAAACAAAACCATCTTGCTTGTTGGTGAAACAGGCACAGGAAAATCCGCTCTGATCAACGCTCTGGTTAACTTCGCCATGGGAGTGAAGTACGAGGACGATGGCTTTGTTCAGATGGTACAGGAAGAGAAGAAGAGTCAATCGGAAAGTCAGACGTCAGACGTGATCGTGTACGAGGTCTTTGGTCTTGAAGACAGAACTCTGCCCTTCTCTCTGACCATCATCGATACTCCCGGGTTTGGTGACACCAGAGGGAATGAGAGAGATGTCCTCATCAGCGAAAGATTGTTGGACTTGTTCTGCTCAACAGATGGAGTTCATGAGATCGATGCAGTGTGTCTGGTGCTGAAAACGAGTGACAATCGACTGAGTGACCGACTGATGTACGTCTTTGAATCAATGATGTCCCTGTTTGGAAAAGACATAGAGAAGAACATCGTTGCCCTCGTCACACACTCAAACTTTGTGACACCTGAAAATGTTCTACAAGCTCTGAAAGATGCGCAAATCAGGTGTGCCAAAGACGAGGAGGGTCAGCCTGTTTATTTCATGTTTGATAACAAGCAGAAAACAGAGAGAAATAAGAGAAATGAGCGTGCTCTAAAGAATGCATGGGAATCAACAGAAGATGAAATCTGTAACTTTGCAGATTTCCTGAAAAAAACCAAACCACAGAACCTGAAAGGAACTGTTGAAGTGTTGAATAGACGCATCAGACTGGCAGCCTGCATCCACAACCTGCAGGAGAGAGTTCAGTTCATTGAACTGAAACAAAGAGAGATCAAACAGACTCAGGAAGCTCTGAAGAAACACGAACAAGACATGAAGAATAACGAGGACTTCAAGGTAGAAGTTGATGAAGTCTATAAAGGTAAAGAACCTGTCGAATGTAGGAAGATATGGTGGTGTTTGTGGTTAAACAATACAGGAACTACCAGCTGTGACGACTGTAAGGAGACTTGTCACGATCAATGCGAAGTGGCCCCAGATCCAAGTTACTGTGAGGTCATGGAAAAGAAATGCACAATATGCAACAAAGAGTGTAGTGTATCAGGCCATAAGAATGAGCTCTACTGCACGGTGTGTACTGGGAAGTGTAATGTAACCAAACACGTGAAAACAGAACAATGCACTGAATGTGAGGATAAGTGCAGGGATCCAAATCATCTGAAAACACCGTGGAGATATGTGAGCAAGACAAGGAGAGTTACTAGGACCATACAGCAGATGAAAGCCATGTATGAGAAGGGTAAAGAAGACAGTGAGGAGTCAGTGAGCCTCTTGGAAACTCTCCAGAAGAACATAGAAGACCTCCAGAAAGAAAAAGATCAGTTTCTGGAAGAGTCTTTCCAACATGTTGTGGAACTGGAGAAGATCGCCCTGAATGATGTTTCACTCTCCACTCATGTCCACCTGGATGTCCTGATCGAGAAGATGAAGGAGAAGGGAGACACAGAGAAGGTCAAGAAACTGGAGGAGATGAAAAGTCAAATGGAGGAAAATCAAAGAGCCAAATCAGCTCTGAGCTACATGTCTGGTAAAGCCGCAGCATTTGGTAACAAAGTGGGTAAAGCAGCTAGGGATCTCTTCAGAGGAAACACAGCTGAGTAGAAAACAGGCTCTACACTTTGATGAAAGGTATTTCATTAGACCAAGTGTGATGCTGAAATAATGATTTCATATTTGACGTGTCATCACCTTTGTTTAAATGTTTGAATTCCTGCCCTTTGAGGTTTACTGTTCATCACTTACTTCACGTTATTATGTTATATATAATTCAATACTTTGGAATAAGAAAATGATGCCTTTGAATCTTTAGTTGACAGTTCTGCAGAAAGTCTTTGCAGCTCCTGAGGCTTTTGACTGATTTCTAAACTATGTTTGGAGTAAAAGACGATGTGTAATCATTTGTTCTGATGTTATTGTGTATTCTCCACATATGAGGATGTTCGACCTGCAGCTCACTTTCTTCAGATCACACTCATCACATGAACTGCATCTAAAAGAGACGCAGCTTTCTGCTGGAAAGTAGAAACAAGGAAAAACTCCATTTCTAGTTTTCTACGAGTTGCATTTATAACTTTTTAGATGTTCATCATGAGTTGCTTTATTTTGAGGCTTGATTGTTGTCAGTCGAGTTCATCTTTTTTCTTCATCATTGAATCATTTGTGCATAAAATGCTGATGTTCGTGGTGTTTCTTTAACCATGTATGATGATGCTCACCTGGAATGTGCTGTTTATGAAACAGGTGTCAGTGACGACAGAGTTGAAAGAAACGTCTCCTGTTTTTAAGATTTGCATTCAGTTACTTTGCATTTTTACCTTTTTAGATATTAAGCATTTATGGTTTTATTTTGAGACTTGAGTTTCAGCAGTTTAGTTCAGATTCTTCATCATTTAATCATTGTTATCATTTGTAATCATTTGTAACCATATATCAGTGAATCAATAAAAACAAGTATCTGTTGTGGTCTACTGAAAGACAGCAGCTCCTTCTATCATCGTCTGACCTCTGAGCAAAGCTCGATGCGGCCTCTTGGGGTTTAGAGGAATGTATCATTACATTATAAATACATGTTAGGTGTTGACCCTAATTACAAATCCTCTCCAAAGATATTTAGTTTTCTTAAAAACAAAAACAGATGGTTTTCTGATTATGGGGAAGTTGTTGGTGAAAAAGTAATAAATATGCAAAGTATGTGATTCAACAACATGTAAATAAATGTTTTAAAATATGCTATAGGGAGACATTTCATTACGTCTCCTGAAGTTTCATTCTAGATTAGACATGTGCAAGTTTATGAATATTTAATATAAGAGCACAAGTTTGGTTCTTTATTTGAATCAAGATGAAACATGTAGAGTAACTAGCTCCATGTAGTGCTGTAATTAAATAACTAAATACAAGTTATTGCATCTGTTATAGAGGGCTACAAAAGGGTTACATCAGAATATATACTTTTAGTAAGAATTGTATTTGGAGAACATACAATTAATGCTATTGCTTGGTTCCAATCCCTGTGTGTGTGTGTGTGTGTGTGTGTGTGTGTGTGTGTGTGTGTGTGTGTGTGTGTGTGTGTGTGTGTGTGTGCGTGTGAGCTAGTTTGTGAGCTAGTTTGTGGAGTTGCTCTGAGAGAAGCAGGGAACACTTTTATTGTAAAAGGTAAACATGATTGAGGCGATGATGATCCACTAATAACAAATATGTTTATGTAAATGTAAAGAATTTATATTAAAACGTTTATTTATTTATTAAATAGTTTAGAAAGTCATTTTTATATATATATTTATTGAAGATGTACGCTTTAAGGCCTCTTGGGTTTGGCGTAGGTGTTGTCAAATATTTGAGTAAATTGAAAACAATACTTACATTTAAAGTATTTTCCTCCAGCTGATCGGATCATACATTCCAGGGCCCAAGAGTTCAAAGCTTTTAATCTCAATCAGATCCGATCAGATTTTGAAATCCCATTTTTTGTGATCCAGGATCAGACAAGTCGGCCAGATTTTGTCCCTGGAGTTCAAAACAATTCAGGATAGGATCAGCCTGATCCAGATTACGACTTTTCAAGATGACTAGATCCTGAATATCAGTGCTTTAATCCTACCGAGCGCCATCTAGTGGACATGAAAAATAATACAAGGAAGACAAGAGACCACATTGCAGAGACATCTATTGTCCGCAATTACTTTTGAAAGGTGATGACAGATGATGGACTTTTTTTGTTGTTGAAAATATTTTTTCTTTAATCTAAATTACATTTGTGATTGACAATCTTTGTTGTGATACTTTCATGAGCATAAACATTTATGTCAACATTTGGTTGAAAACAAAATAGGCCACCACAAACGTGACCAAAAAATGAAAAATAAAATTGATTTCCCATGAAGGCTAAAAATGGTGTATTATTTCAGTTAACAAACTTTGCCATCTTATTTATATTGAAACATATTTTTAAATAAATGGTACAGTACATTTTGCTCTGGTAATCCACTGGAAATCCACCCTTCTGGTCGGATCAGGATAATCCAGTTTTTTGGGATCAAACTGATCCCAATCCTGTGTTGTCGGTTTGAACTACCCGTTTTGAAGATTTGATCCAGATTAAAGCTTGGATTGGATTTCCTGATCTGATCGGATATCAAAGTGATCCTAATCCTGTTTTTTGGTTTTGAACTCCCCAAAATCCAAATCTGATTTGATCAGATAGGGATTAAAAGTGTTGAACTCCTGGGCGGAGATTAAACAAGTTTTATAATTTACTCTTCTTCCAATGAGGGTTGTTACTGCAGCCTAAATCCTCAATGTAGCACTACCGCCCTCTCCTGGATTTAATCACAATGTCAGATCTTCCTCACGATGAAGCTCACCCTGTTTAAAATATATTATTTTGATTTCAAATAATTATTTACAGCTGGAAAATTACTAAAACTTTACTATGAAAATACTGCAGGTAAAAGTCCTGCATTCAAAACCTGACTTTAGTAAAGTGTGTCAGTGAAATGCAGTTAAAGAAGTTAAAGTTAAATAATTGATTGATGCCCCCTTAGGTTAATAAACAGCAAAACAAACTATAGGAGCCAAACAAACTGCACTAGTCTACTAACAGAATAGTGCAGCATCTCCAGCTAGCTAGTTAGCATTACATATATCACATATTTATTATGTTATTAAAAACGTACGTCCCCCGTCCTTATTGGGTTTGACGTTTGTGTCGTTTAATATTTGAGTGAATTAAAAAACAATACTTACTTTAAAGTATTTTCCTCTGAGTCAACGGACGTCAAAACTCACTGGACACCGGCGCAATGAATTCTGGGATACGCTGAAGGATCCGTCAGCTGTGTCGTCTGACTCCGGGAGATGAAGGTCGCTTTGGTTGAACGCGTTTGGAGGAGACTTCAAATGGAGCAGCCATGTTTCTCCAGATGTGTGGATTACTCCAAATATATTTTACTGCATAATCAATACTTTTACTTTAACTACATTTTGCTGATACTTTTTTAAATGCAGGACTTTTACCTCCTCTGTTGTGACCTTTTACTCAAATACTTAACTACAACTTCAAGGTATTAGTGATTTACTTCAGTATTTCTGTTTTCTGATACTATATATTTAGTTCCAGTAATATTTATATTTTCTGTCCAGTTAAAACCATGTATTTCCAGATGTGTTGGTAACTTTTACTTCAACTACATTTTACTGCTCAATTAATACTTTTACATGAAAGTTTTAAATGCAGGACTTTTCCCTGCATGTTGTATTTTCACAGTGAGGTATTAGTACTTGTATAGCTGTAAAACATCGCCTATTTGTCGTTAAAATGCAATAATAATTGATAAAAACAGCAGGTTTGTCTTTTAGGATCGGACTCGGACCCTCTCCAAGTTACCCTGTACGGTCTTTGAGGTATGAGGTGAGGAGGGAAAGTGCAGAGCCTGAAACTCCAAGTTCTTGGAGAGTGCGAAGGAGGATCTGATGAATCACCGTGTCGAATGCAGCAGACAGGTCCAACAGGATGATGACAGAGGAGAGAGAGGCTGCTTTAGACAAGACAAGATAAGACAAGACAATACAAGACAAGATAAGACAAGATAAGACAAGACAAGATAAGACAAGATAAGACAAGACAAGACAAGATAAGACAAGATAAGATGAGACAAGACAAGATAAGACAAGATAAGACAAGACAAGACAAGATAAGACAAGATAAGACAAGACAAGATAAGACAAGATAAGATGAGACAAGATAAGACAAGACAAGATAAGACAAGATAAGACAAGATAAGACAAGACAAGATGAGACAAGACAAGATAAGATGAGACAAGACAAGACAAGACAAGACAAGATAAGACAAGACAAGACAATATAAGACAAGATAAGACAAGACAAGATAAGACAAGATAAGATGAGACAAGACAAGATAAGACAAGATATGATAAGACAAGATATGACAAGACAAGACAAGATAAGACAAGACAAGATAAGATGAGACAAGATAAAACAAGATAAGACAAGACAAGACAAGATAAGATGAGACAAGACAAGACAAGACAAGATATGACAAGACAAGACAAGACAAGATATGATAAGACAAGACAAGATAAGACAAGATAAGACAAGACAAGACAAGACAAGACAAGACAAGACAAGACAAGATATGACAAGACAAGATATGATAAGACAAGACAAGACAAGATATGACAAGACAAGACAAGACAAGACAAGATGAGACAAGATAAGACAAGACAAGACAAGATAAGACAAGACAAGACAAGACAAGATAAGACAAGACAAGATAAGACAAGATAAGATGAGACAAGACAAGATAAGACAAGACAAGATATGATAAGACAAGACAAGACAAGACAAGATATGACAAGACAAGACAAGATAAGACAAGACAAGATAAGATGAGACAAGATAAGACAAGATAAGACAAGACAAGACAAGATAAGATGAGACAAGACAAGACAAGACAAGATATGATAAGACAAGACAAGACAAGACAAGATGAGACAAGACAAGATGAGACAAGATAAGACAAGATAAGACAAGACCAGATAAGACAAGACAAGATAAGATAAGACAAGATAAGACAAGACAAGATAAGATGAGACAAGATAAGACAAGACAAGACAAGACAAGAAAAGACGAGACGAGACGAGACGAGACGAGACGAGACGAGACAAGCAAATATAAGATAAGATGAGACAAGATAAGACAAGACAAGACGAGATAAGACAAGACAAGACAAGACGAGACGAGATGAGACGAGACAAGACGAGATGAGACGAGACGAGACGAGACGAGACAAGCAAATATAAGATAAGATGAGACAAGACAAGACAAGACAAGACAAGACAAGACAAGACAAGATAAGACAATACAAGACAAGACAAGACAAGATAAGACAAGATAAGACAAGACAAGACGAGACAAGATAAGACGAGACAAGATGAGACAAGATAAGACAAGATAAGACAAGATAAGACAAGACAAGATAAGACCAGACAAGATAAGATAAGACAAGATAAGACAAGACAAGATAAGACAAGACAAGATAAGACAAGACAAGATAAGATGAGATAAGACAAGATAAGACAAGATAAGACAAGACAAGACAAGACAAGACAAGATAAGACGAGATAAGACAAGATAAGACAAGACAAGACAAGATAAGACGAGATAAGACAAGACAAGACAAGCAAATATAAGATAAGATGAGACAAGATAAGACAAGACAAGATAAGACAAGACAAGATAAGACAAGATAAGACAAGATAAGACAAGACAAGACAAGATAAGATGAGATAAGATGGACCTTCCTTAATCCACGCGGGGAAGTTCAGACACTGTTGCTTGCAGATGTTGTGGTTTCAGACCCGCCGAAGGGTCCGTGGGGCTAGCTGCAGGAAATGTCAACACTAGTTCAGATGACTTTAGGGTTAGGGTTTAGGCTTGTTCTGATGACTTTAGCTGTTTTCGCCCCATTCTGTGGTTCATTTTGAGCCTCTACTTTGTGCTGCGGTTGTCGTTATCTGTCTAATATTTTGTCTCCATTATCTACATTTGCTATGGAGGAGCAGATATATTAGAAACAGCTGCACAATAAATGTAATCCTGTACTTCACCACCATGAAACAACAAGAGCACAGATTGTAGAACTCTCCTGACAAACACAGTTTTCACACAGGTTGGATTTACTGCAGGACTGTTGGTATTTTTCTGTCTCTCTATACGTTGTCAGTCGAAGCCAAACTTGTTGTTGTTTCCAGGAATTGTGTGTCATTAGTTTTATTGTTAGAGGTTTTGTTGCAGTACCAAGGGACAGCCCACTTAGTCTCTTTGAAACAGACCAACTGTGGCGTTTGGATACTACTTGGACCCCAAAGCAGAGACGGACACAAAATTAAGTTCAATGTGTTTAATGAAGAAAACAAGTCCAAGGCAGGTACCGAAGACAGGGAGCTGGCTGGCTGCAGTAGGGTCCAAAACTAAGCAGAGGGAAAAACGTCTCCGACAAAAACTCAAGAGTTCCTCAAAAACTGCAAAGAAACAAAACTAGACTCCAGGCTGCAGAAAAGGCAGCATTTACGAACAACAGTTAATTCTCTGGCAGAGAAGTGAGGTGAGGGCCAGGCTCTTAAAGAGCAGGTTGATTATGTGAATAGGAACAGGTGTGCCTCATCTGCAGCCAGGAGATACCAGCCACGCCCCCCTGTCACACACCAGCCCTGCAGAGAAGGAGAGACAGAGTAGTGAGGGGTAAAAGGAGCAAGCAACAAGAAAACACAATAACAAAAACCCCATGCATAAACATAACACCAACATTTGTACAGCCAGTGTCTCTCAGATAATGAGGGGAGTTCAGAGTCTGAAGCTGTTTACAGGCGGTCTGGTTACTGATTAACAGCTAATAACAACTGCTTCAATATCATAAAGTATGACATCTCAGAAAAACATTTTTAATTCATGACATTCCTTTATTGTAGAATAGTAAATAAGCATAATTATATCAGCGGAGACCATGTTAACTGCAGACGGTATTTGGATATTTATCTTCATCGGTCTGCATGTTGTGTCTATTCAGATTTTACTCTACACTCCTCTCAGTTATTATTGTTGATGAATATATCATTTTATTAATTTGCAGGCTCTACTAATTTATCCCTAAAATCACTCAAAGCTCTCTACCAACATCTTTAATACCCAACCCTGGTTAGAGGGCAATTCAGGTGGAGGTTATCAAGATAACATCAAATACGCCACGACTGCAACTATAAAAGAAGAATAAACACATGAGGCATATATATTATCCAAGACTCATAGTCCTAGCTAAATGTTATGGTCATGTGTAATACATCGTTGTGCTCAGTGCCCTCTGCCTTAGACAAGGAACAAACACCCTCAGACAATATACAGTACATACAGTATATCAAATATACAGTACATACAATAAACAGTACATACAATATGCAGTACATTCACGCTCTAACGGTTCAAAAGAGGTGTCAATCACCAAAATCGACCAATGGGTTCCAGAGATACGGCAAATCAACCCAAATGACCCCAGATGTGTTTTTTTTTCTTAAACCTCTCTAAAAAGGTCAGATTTCACTTGTCTTGCATCAATCTTGATACAGGGTACTTATTATATGTTGTACTTTGGATTCCTAAAGCTTTTAGTCTACCTTACCATCATCCAAGGTTAGTTTTCACTATAAGTAAAGAAGAATTGTTGGAAGGACACGATAATTTAAATGTTTTTACCATGTTCAATTTTAATTTACTTTAAACTAAAAAACATCTATATTGATTCTGACTTTTGAGGCTCGGGGCTCAACAGGTTAACCACTAATCCTGCTGCGTAGTGCAGGCCTCAGGGCAGGGAAACAAACAGGTGGAAAAAACAGGTTAAGGTGAGTAGCAAGTCCAAATATAGGTCAGCCACGCCCAGCCGAAGAGACATAGAGGGAGTGAGAGAGAGAGAGAGAGAGAGAGAGAGAGAGAGAGAGAGAGAGAGAGAGAGAGAGAGAGAGAGAGAGAGAGAGAGAGAGAGAGAGAGAGAGAGAGAGAGAGAGAGAGAGAGAGAGACAGAGACAGAGACAGAGAGAGAGAGAGAGAGAGAGAGAGAGAGAGAGAGAGAGAGAGAGAGAGAGAGAGAGAGAGAGAGAGAGAAAACCAACACAGTGAAAACAGAGAAGCAGAACCGTGGATCCTCAGGGTTCTAAAGTCCATGCTCCTCTCGTTCTGGACCAACATTTCTGTGACTGTGTTGTAGAAACCCCCCCCCCCCCCTTTTATGAGGGAGTGACGGCGTCCTCAGATCAGATGCATGCAGACACAGGACAGACGAGGAAGAGCTGAGTTTCCTCCACACACGAAGAGAGTCTGTGAGAGGACCTGGAGAGAGTCTGTGAGAGGACCTGGAGAGAGTCTGTGAGAGGACCTGGAGAGAGTCTGTGAGAGGACCTGGAGAGAGTCTGTGAGAGGACCTGGAGAGAGTCTGTGAGAGGACCTGGAGAGAGTCTGTGAGAGGACCTGGAGAGAGTCTGTGAGAGGACCTGGAGAGAGTCTGTGAGAGGACCTGGAGAGAGTCTGTGAGAGGACCTGGAGAGAGTCTGTGAGAGGACCTGGAGAGAGTCTGTGAGAGGACCTGGAGAGAGTCTGTGAGAGGACCTGGAGAGAGTCTGTGAGTGGACCTGGAGAGAGTCTGTGAGAGGACCTGGAGAGAGTCTGTGAGAGGACCTGGAGAGAGTCTGTGAGAGGACCTGGAGAGAGTCTGTGAGAGGACCTGGAGAGAGTCTGTGAGTGGACCTGGAGAGAGTCTGTGAGTGGACCTGGAGAGAGTCTGTGAGAGGACCTGGAGAGAGTCTGTGAGAGGACCTGGAGAGAGTTCAGCAGGTGAGAATCCTCCCAGAGGAATCTGTCTCATCATCAGGATCACTCTGATCACATTGTGCTGTGTCTCTGTTTACCTGGACACGTTTCTTCATGCTGATTCTAAATATCTGTTTGAAATATTGTGTTTCTCTCTGAGTTAAAGCAGAATGCATTTAGAAAGAGTTCCATGTTCTGTTGTCAGTGTTTCTCAGGTAGAATGAGCAGCAGTCTGATTGTTATCATAGATCACTAACATGGAGAACACACATCATCAGTGGAAATGCAGGGTGTGTCAGAACCGGTCTAAGAACTCTGATCATGTGACTGAGCTGCATTTATTATTTGTAACTCTTAAGACTCTGAACTAAAGTGCATGGAGGAAGTGAGAAGGGCTCCGATACAGCCATCCTCCTCCTCTCAGCTCAGCTCTCTACAGGCTGCAGAATCCTTTCTACATAGACCAATTTAAAGTTTGGGATTGTAAACAGGGTGATGAGGGTTACCTAAAATGACCAATTACCTGTTAAAAACAGTAATCAGTAACGTAATCTAATTGCCCCAATGTTAAAGTCATGTATCCTGATTACTTTCTGTTACTTTTGGATTACCTCAATATCAAAAATAAATATCAATAACATTGCTTTTACTTATTGTATTCTGATTTTGACACATCAAGAATATTTCTCGTATTGTCCACAAAAGAGGCATAAGGGAAATGTAATTGTGATTAAAGTCCGGAACTGCATTTACTAATTTACGAACTAACTTCCTTATTTGTATATTTTTCTAAACATAACCCAGGAGTTGTGTTGTTGTGTTATTGAGAATGCAGTCGTACGGGAACGTTGTTTTTTGGGAGGCTGATTTGTAATGCTCAGAGGAGAGGAGAACAATGGAGACTGCTGCTTTTATTCACCTGGGTCCATGGGCGGGTCTCACCTGGGTCCATGGGCGGGTCTCACCTGGGTCCATGGGCGGGTCTCACCTGGGTCCATGGGCGGGTCTCACCTGGGTCCATGGGCGGGTCTCACCTGGGTCCATGGGCGGGTCTCACCTGGGTCCATGGGCGGGTCTCACCTGGGTCCATGGGCGGGTCTCACCTGGGTCCATGGGCGGGTCTCACCTGGGTCCATGGGCGGGTCTCACCTGGGTCCATGGGCGGGTCTCATCTGGGTCCATGGGCGGGTCTCACCTGGGTCCATGGGCGGGTCTCACCTGGGTCCATGGGCGGGTCTCACCTGGGTCCATGGGCGGGTCTCACCTGGGTCCATGGTCGGGTCTCACCTGGGTCCATGGGCGGGTCTCACCTGAGTCCATGGGCGGGTCTCACCAGGGCCCAGGAGTTCAAAACTTTTAATCTCAATCAGATCCGATCAGATTTTGAAATCCCATTTGTTGTGATCCAGGATCAGACAAGTCGGCCAAATGTTGTCCCTGGAGTTCAAAGCAATTCAGGATAGGATCAGCCTGATCCAGATTACGACTTTTCAAGATGACTAGATCCTGAATATCAGTGCTTTAATCCTACCGAGCGCCATCTAGTGGACATGAAAAATACTACAAGGAAGACAAGAGACCACGTTGCAGAGACTTCTATAATGTTTAATTATATTTTTTTTATTTGAAAGGTGATGATGGACTTTTTTTTTGTTGAAGATATTTTTACTTTAATCTAAATTGCATTTGTGATTTACAATCTTTGTTGTGATACTTTCATGAGCATAAACATTTATGTCATCAACATTTGGTTGAAAACGAAATAGGCCACAAACGTGAGCAAAAATGGAAAAATAAAATGTATTTCCCATGAAGGCTAAAAATGGTGTATTATTTCAGTTAACAAACTTTGCCATCTAATTTAAATTGAAACATATTTTTAAATAAATGGTACAGTACATGTTGCTCTGGTAATCCACTGGAAACCCACCCCTCTGGTGGGATCAGGATAATCCAGTTTTTTGGGAACAAACTGATCCCAATCCTGTGTTGTCGGTTTGAACCCGTTTTGAAGATTTGATCCAGATTAAAGCTTGGATTGGATTTCCTGATCTGACCGGATATCAAAGTGATCCTAATCCTGTTTTTTGGTTTTGAACTCCCCAAAATCCAGATCTGATCAGATAGGGGTGGCGTTCCGATAATCCAAAAATCAGCTCCTAAATTCTAACCCTATCTCCTATCCCTTGACCTCTGAGTGAAAGGTCACGGGGTTAAGGGATAGTGGATAGGAGAATTCAAAAGGACTTAGGAGAAGAGACTGCGGTACTTTAGAGAATCGAATGCACTTTCACTATCCGACGTGTTTCTGATGCGCCAGCGGACGTCCTGAATGAGCGTCTGCTGCTGTGGGGAAACTATGGAAACTACAGTTCTCTATACAGCGGACTACAACATGGATGTTCAATAAGAACGAGGGACTCCTGTGAACTCATCTAGAGACTCTGTGCTCTGACGCTGTTGCTTTATGCTTTATGAACGTTGAAGAATTATTATCATCTGATATTTAAGAAGTGTGTTACATTTGAAATATTGATTTCTCTGTTTTATCCTTTCATAAATGTAAAGTCTAAAAATGGCTATAAACAGTCTGGGCTGGTTGGAGTAAACAGGGTTGTATTGCTCTGTGGGGAGGTGTAGTTATGCAGAGCAGGGGGCTGGGTGGATGACAGTACCTTCTGCTTAAAGATCTCCAGTATGTCATGTTTCAGGGAAGTCTACATATCTAAAATATATGTGTGTGTTTAATTACTTTGTATCAATAATAATAGGGAGCTGGAGATATGAGAAGTGGAGGGGACAGAGAGGAAATACCCTTAGACACATGCTATCGACAGCAGAGGGTAGAATGTGTGTGTGTAGGCTGCAGAAATATGAGACAGCGAATGCCAGATGTGTTTGTTTTGCTTCAAACTGAGAGACTCTTGTTTCCGGATCCTCTCTGCTGGCCCGCGCTGATTCGCTGCGACATCTTTTGCATCTCCCAATGAGATGACCTGAAAAGATGACCAGCTGACCTAACCCCTCCTGTTTTATTCTTATATGTAAGCCTGTTCGGCCTTGTGTTCGCTCTCTTTCCTCCAGCTGCCAAGACGAGTAAGTAAGAGTCCCCAGCGGAGGACAGGGCCGGAGTAATCCGGATTACTTCGTGATGATATTGTATTTGTATCTTTTCCCATTAAATCAGCATATTTGCTATAACCTTACCAATGGTTGCTGTGAATTCTTCCTCTGTTAATCTGACCCATTCACAAAAGGACGCGCGGAGGCAGAGGGGGGCCTAGAGCCCCCACCAAAGAATGACTCTGTCACAACAACGTGGACAACAGAGAAACAGATTCTTCATGACCAAAGTTGGAATTGAAATAAAAAAGGAAAGTGAAGCTTCTGCTCGTCCCCCTCTCCCTCCGGTCCACATTAATACAAATGATCCCAATACGTATGATTGATGAAAAGATCTTAAATCAATACAGATGTATTTATTGTAAACGTTAGTCCTTAACATCTATCTCTGTGTATATCACCATTCAAACATCTTTTAAAAGTTGAACAAACCCCACAGCTCAGTAAAGACTGTGAGATGTTGACTTTATTTGATCATTTCAGTAAAAACTAACGTTCATATTTCTCTCTTTGATTATAATACTGATGAACGTTCAGAACAAAGCACTTTGGCAACTTACCACATACGTTTTAAAAAGCTTAATAAGCACCGTAACTTTCATGATATCATTTCTCCGTCATAATCGGTTGTTTCCGTGAACGACCGACTGTTGAGTGACGGCAAATGCTGCGGCTGCAATGCATTGTGGGGCAGCATTTTCTCCTCTCCTTTCGGTTAGGGAGGTCCAGTGGTTCCTAAGCTAAAGGAGGTTATAAAGGAAGTTTGAAACCTCCTTCCCTTTCATTTGGAGAACTGGAACGGCACTTATCATGGCTGCCACTGAGGGACTTCCGGGTCATTTCACTCGGTTAGGAAGCTAAATGGACTATTGGAACGCAACCAGGGATTCAAAGTTTTGAACTCCTGGGCCCAGCTGATCAGGCTGCAGGGACAGGTAGTGGTGGAGGCTTTGACACCAGTGGATGCTTCTGGGAAATTGAGTCCCATTATTTATTGTCATGCTGTGTTTTGGTTATTTGACGGTTCACATCATTGTTTGAGTGTAGATGGTGTAACCCTTTACACACTGCTGCAGCTGCAGGAAGAGTTAGCAGATGTAGGTCAGAGTTCTTCACTGTAGAACAATACGCTTTATCAACATGTTTCACAAAAATGTTCATTATAAGAAAAGCTTTTTTATAAATATATAATTAATCTCAAAATGTGTGTGTGGTCAGGCAGACAATCATGTGATCCACACCGTTGCTTCATCACATATCAGTGCTAATCTTAATTCCATTAGACGTTCAGTTAGCACCATCTAGTGGTCAGCTAGTAGAACTACATCACGGCTCTCACTAACTGGGTTTCTGACACTGGTTACACTGGTTCTCAAGACACTCAGATGTGTTGATGAGGGAGTGACGGCGTCCTCAGATCAGATGCATGCAGACACAGAACTGAGGAGGAAGAGATGAGCAGTGTTTCCGCCACACATGAAGCTAAAGAGTGCCGTAACAAACCTACAGCCTTTATTCTAAACATCAGAATTGCCATTCCTAAAATGTAGCTTATGTGCATGTGAAAATAAAACCTTTGAATCTTGAATCAGTTCTGTCCAAAAATCATTGAGAGTGCAGATTGTTTGTATGGGACATCATTTTCTTGGAGGCAGAGTTGTTAATGTTTTTGGATCAACACATAACAGTAAGTTGTTGGATGTGCTTTAATAAACTCTGACACTCTAGGGGTCAACACTCTGAGTCTCTGTGGGCCTGGGGCTGAGGGACACATGTTGATCCTGTTGAGGCTGCATCAAGGTTCCTGTCAGCCTGAATATCTGAGAGGAGGAGCACTCATGTGTCCTGTGGTGTGAAGCTTGTTGTAATGAATAACCAAGTTGTTGTGTTTGTGTGAAGGTGGAGGCTCTGCTATGGATCAGTGTGAGAACCGAGAGGAGGGAGCCCCCCCCTCTAAAAGCTCTGGGGAACATGACCGCCAGACCAAAGCTCAGAGGTGAGATCTCCACCTGTCCATGACTCTTCTCCATGTCACAACTCAGCACTCATTATTCACACTCAGAGCTCTGTGTGTTGTGTTCAAGCCCAGAGCAAACACCACACTCTGCTGGACCTGGACCTGGATCCACCTGTGTGTCCATGAAGAGTGGCTGGTCTATGGATCCCCCTCTTACCTTGAAATCTGGACGTCCTGCAGAAGGAAGGTGAGAATAATAATAATACATTTTATTTGTAGGCGCCTTTCGTGACACCCAAGGACACCGTACGATTTGTTAAAAAAAGAAAGAAACCGCTAATAGGCAACAGAACATGATAAAAACACAAACAGGAAATCATGGAGGACACAAATGAAACATATAATGGGGAGCACTACAGCGAGTAGTAGTAGAATGTAAAGTGTGTCACGTGATCAGCTTCTTTCTGAGGAGTTCAGAGTTTCTTCTCCCGGACGCTGAGACATTGTTCTGTAGCTCTTTGGCTCTTCTACCTTCCTCCATCCTTTCAGAGAGGTTTCTTTGATTCTTGTGTTGTTGTTGTTGTTGTTGTTGTTGTTGTGTATTTCCTGTTGTTGTTTTTGCTCAGCTAGAAGTCAGATGTCCTCTAGAGGAACGCTAAAGAAGAACTGGACATCTGAAACTGATGTGAAGCTAAAGAAAGAGCAAACTGATCCATGAACTGGAATCAGAGAGAATCTGCTATAACTCACTTTGTTCACTTTGACTTGTTTGTATCAGGAAGCAGAAGAAGAGACATAAACGTAAACCTAAACCTGGACCTGAAGATGGACCTGGACCTGAACCTGGACCTGGACCTAAAGATGGACCTGGACCTGAAGATGGACCTGGACCTGAAGATGGACCTAAAGATGGACCTGAAGATGGATCTGGACCCAGCCGTAAAAGGAGAAGGTTTGTGATCCGGCTGACCTGTTGAAAACATTTCTTATTTAGATCTAAACATTGAAATATGATTCCTGAATCTTTTGAGACAGAAAAAGGAAATATAGTCAAATAATCCAGATTTATATTCCAAAATATGGGTCTGTGTTTATTTGTATCAGGATCCAGCAGCAGAAACCTGGACCCAGCTGTGAGTCCATGAAGAGTGACTTTTCTATGGAGTCTCCTCTTTACTTTAAAGCTGGACAAAGTGCTGATGAAAGGTACGAATTTAAAATGTACAGACTCTGTTACCATCTGACTCTCTTTGGAGAAGAGTAAATCCTGTAAATCCTGCTCAAGCCTCTCTTGAGTTGGTGTTAAAGAGACCCACAGGGTTTCTAATTACTTAAAATATATTTGTATCATGAATCATACAATAGGAAAAGACTCAAATTAAGACATTAAACATGGATTGTTTTAGACGACCCCCCCCCCCCCACTGCTTGGTGACGGCAGGCAGCGAGCTGGTAATGACATGAAGGGCGGCGTGAGGTGTCTGGTGGTTTTATTACTCTGTTTTTTATCTATCTCAGGATCCAGCAGCAGAGACCTGGACCCAGCTGTGAGTCCATGAAGAGTGACTGGTCTATGGATCGTCCTATTGTCTTTAAATCTGGACAAAGTGCTGATGAAAGGTAAGAATTTAAAACTGGACTCTGTTACCATCCGACTCTCTTTGGAGAAGGCACCACAGACTGGTTCAAATCAGGCTCCAGATAATAATGGGGCTTTCTGTTCCTCGCACCATCAGCTGCTGGGAGGCTTCTGATGGTCGGACGCTTTCAGGCCTCAGTAATGTTGGTGTTTTTATAACCCCCCCCCCCCCCCCCCCTCCAGCTGCTGAGCCACAGTTACCCTGTTATTCTGTCTCCATCTCAGAACACCTTCAGTCAGCTGTGTGCAGATTAGACTCTTTAAATGTTCTGGATGTTTTCTCCACAGAGTTCTGCAGGAGTTCTCAGAGGTTCCCAGTGATCAGTCCGCCCCGAAGCATCACACAGACCTGGACTCCATATTTATGGTGTGTACAAATATACATTTACTGTGAACTACAGATGATCTACCATTCAGGTCCTGACTGTGTCCATGCTGCTCTGTTTAGACCAGCAGGCCTTCAGACGGACAGATGATCACATGTTGTCTTCTTTAAATTAACTGTTGCTGCGTCGGTGGACCTGTGTTAATCTGACTATTAATCAGACCTACTGATTGACCTTTCAGAAGCTAATGAGTCTATGAAAGTTTAGGATCGGATCCAGGTCGATCTCTAAAAGGTCTTACCTCTGCTAACTTCTGAAGAACCAGGTTCAATGAACTGCTGATCGAAGGCATATGACTAAATCTGTTTAAGAGATCCCAGAGGGTTCTGTATTGAGGTGTGGCCCTGCCTAAGTGTAAGTGGGGCAGTCGTGCAATACAAGAGGGTGGGATGATTATAGAAAAAAGAGGATATCAAGATTCGAGTCGGGTGACCCTTTACATAATAACATGATAACTTTAGTTTTAACGATATTCATCTGATCAATGTTCATCAACCTGTTCCAGCTGCTGGAGGAGAACATCGTGACTTTTGTGAAGAACGAGCTGAAGAAGATCCAGAAGGCTCTGAGTTCAGATTACCCAGAAGGCTTAGAGAGTCAGAGTGAGGATGAGGAGGTGTTGGACGGTGAGGATGAAGAGCAGAGGAGCAGCAGAGAGGCAGTTCTGAACATCACCCTGCACTTCCTGAGGAGCATGAAGCAGGAGGAGCTGGCTGAGCGTCTGCAGAGCAGTAAGAGGGTTTAACACATTTAACATGATGGAGAGGAGATGGAGGAACATGGAGAAGCTTACATTTACAAACTCTGCTGTTAATATACTGCACACGTCTGCGTCAGTGTGTCCTCTGAGGAGCTGATTCAAACTGTACAGCCACACTTACATGTTCAGAGTCTCAGTGTTTCTGCAGGACCCACTCACTGATTCCACTTGTTGTTCGTTCATTCAGGATCTCCTGCTGCAGTGTGCAGTAAACTCAAATCCACCCTGAAGGAGAGGTTCCAGTGTGTGTTTGAGGGCATCGCTAAAGCAGGAAACCAAACCCTTCTGAACCAGATCTACACAGAGCTCTACATCACAGAGGGGGGGTCTGCAGAGGTCAACAATGAACATGAGGTCAGACAGATTGAAACAGCATCCAGGAAACCACACAGACCAGAAACAACCATCAGACAAGAAGACCTCTTTAAAGCCTCACCTGGAAGAGATGCACCAATCAGAGCAGTGATGACAAAGGGCGTGGCTGGCATTGGGAAAACAGTCTTAACACAGAAGTTCACTCTGGACTGGGCTGAAGGCAAAGCCAACCAGGACATCCAGTTCATATTTCCATTCACCTTCAGAGAGCTGAACGTGGTGAGAGAGAACAAGTACAGCTTGGTGGAACTTGTTCATCACTTCTTCTCTGAAACCAGAGACGCAGGAATCTGTAGGTTTGATCAGTTCCCGGTCGTGTTCATCTTTGACGGTCTGGATGAGTGTCGACTTCCTCTGGACTTCCTCAACACTGAGATCCTGACTGATGTCACAGAGACCACCTCAGTGGATGTGCTGCTGACAAACCTCATCAGGGGGAAGCTGCTTCCCTCTGCTCGCCTCTGGATAACCACACGACCTGCAGCAGCCAATCAGATCCCTCCTGAGTGTGTGGACATGGTGACAGAGGTCCGAGGGTTCACTGACCCACAGAAGGAGGTTTACTTCAGGAAGAGATTCAGAGATCAGGAGCAGGCCGGCACCATCATCTCCCACATCAAGACCTCACGAAGCCTCCACATCATGTGCCACATCCCAGTCTTCTGCTGGATCTCTGCTTCAGTTCTGGAGGAGGTGTTGAAAACCAGAGAGGGTGGAGAGCTGCCCAAGACCCTGACTGAGATGTACATCCACTTCCTGGTGGTTCAGTCCAAAGTCAAGAACATCAAGTATGATGGAGGAGCTGAGACAGATCCACACTGGAGTCCAAAGAGCAGGAAGATGATGGAGTCTCTGGGGAAACTGGCTTTTGAGCAGCTGCAGAAAGGCAACCTGATCTTCTATGAGTCCGACCTGACAGAGTGTGGCATCGATATCAGAGCAGCCTCAGTGTACTCAGGAGTGTTCACACAGGTCTTTAGAGAGGAGAGAGGACTGTACCAGGACAAGGTGTTCTGCTTCGTCCATCTGAGCGTTCAGGAGTTTCTGGCTGCTCTTCATGTCCATCTGACCTTCATCACCTCTGGAGTCAACCTGCTGTCAGAAGAACCAACAACCTCCCAGCTGTATGAGGTCAAACCTGAACTAACACATCTCTACCAGAGTGCTGTGGACCAGGCCTTACAGAGTCCAAACGGACACCTGGACTTGTTCCTCCGCTTCCTCCTGGGTCTTTCACTGCAGACCAATCAGAAACTCCTAAGAGGCCTGCTGACACAGACAGGAAGTGGCTCAGAGACTGAAGAGGAAACAGTCCAGTACATTAAGACTAAGATGGATGAGGATCTGTCTCCAGAGAGAAGCATCAACCTGTTCCACTGTCTGAATGAACTGAATGATCGTTCTCTAGTGAAGCAGATCCAACGGTACCTGAGTTCAGGAAGTCTCTCCACAGAGAATCTCTCTCCTGCTCAGTGGTCAGCTCTGGTCTTCATCTTACTGTCATCAGAAGAAGATCTGCACGTGTTTGACCTGAAGAAATACTCTGCCTCAGAGGAGGCTCTTCTGAGGCTGCTGCCAGTGGTCAAAGCCTCCAACAAAGCTATGTAGGTGAACACATAACTATCCAGATTACATTTATTAATTATTTAATCAGAAACAAATACAAGTTTGTAATTTATTTCTTCTGTATGACTGATTCCTCTTCAGACTGAGTGGCTGTAACCTGTCAGAGAGAAGCTGTGCAGCTCTGTCCTCAGTCCTCAGCTCCCAGTCCTCTAGTCTGAGAGAGTTGGACCTGAGAAACAACGACCTGCAGGATTCAGGAGTGAAGCTGCTGTCTGCTGGACTGGAGAGTCCACACTGTGAACTGGAGACTCTCAGGTTAGTGAAAAGCTGTTTAACCTCTTAAACCCCATCCCCCTGCCACCGGGGGGAAAAACGCGTCATCTGCAGGAAACAGCGTCCGAGGGCATCTTAATATTTAATAAACTATGAATTTTTATATCCATGTAACGGGAAGAAACTCAGCTAACTGATCTTTTTATTTTTTTATGCAAAAAAACCCACAAAGCTAGCGCTGAGCCTTTGAATTAGCCACGAGCGAAAAAATGCTAACGGCGTTTGCACAGAAAACACGGTATAACACCCTTATTACTTATCGTAACTGCACATCCAACCCATCGATAGCATTGTGAGAAGACACAGAATCGATAGGTATCCATATCATCACTGTTAGGATCTGTTTATTTTATGTTTTATTTTGGAATTGTCTAGGACAGTCAGCTTCCTGTTTTTCATTCAAGTATGTTCACCCCCTGTCTGTCATGTGTGTATTTGTTTCCTGTCTGTGTTTTCCCTCCTGCGTGATTACCTGATTCTTTTCACCTGTGTCTTTGTGTTTTCCCTCCCCTCCCCAGCTGTGTCTTGTCGTCTTGATTGGCCATGTGTGTATTTAAGTTCTTGTTTTCTGTTGGGGTATTGTGGGTTCCTTTTTGTGCTTAGAGGGAGATAGAGTTCCTGTCTGGGTTTTTGTTGATCCTGTTGCCTTGAATAAAGTTTTTTTGCTGTTAAACTATCATCTGTCTGCACTTGGGTCCTCCCTGTGCTGCTCAACCCTAACATACCTTAGGGGCTCCGTGTCGCCATATGGACAGGATGTCAAAATGCGCAGCAACGGCCGCATGTGAAATGGACAGAAATAAATACAGCCTAACCGCTTTTGCCAGGGTGATGCACATGGCTTTTATACCCAGGAATAAGTGTTTGAAAGCTGGGTAAAAGTGATGTGAACAGAGGGAGAGAGCAGCCAGAGACTTAGCGGCCTGTGAGAGCCACAGAGCGCACCCAGAGGACAGGCTGTTTCACAGCACTATGTAACCCAGGAAAGCAGCTTGAATCGTGGGTATGTCAGTGTTAAAAGTGCCTTAAACTGTTTTAATTTAAATGCGCATTTGACTGCATACACAGCCGGTCATATGGACAGGAAACTGTCCACATTTGACTCATGAAATGTACAAGAAGATAAGTACAGCAGAGTCACTGCTGTTAGCAGGGTCTCACACTCACAGGCACACAGGCAGAGATCCAGGGTGATGCACATGGCTTTCCTACCCAGGAATAAGTGTGTGAAAGCTGGGGAAAGTGGTCCTGCAGCCCCCCCATAACGGTAATAATGATTAGAGATAATTTACAGGGCAGAAAGCTGTTTTTAAAAGTGAAAAAATGATTTAAAACCGTTTAAAAAGCACAAAGTGATTTGAGTGCAGTTCTCATGTGTCCCCACAGGAGGGCGCATCAGCCAACCTATTTCTGGCCCCTCACAGAGCCCCAAAGGACGGACTAAGCAGCTCCAACATTTCTCCCTGACATGCGTACTTCCATAACCTCGCGCACCGTGGGTCCCCGGGCCCCCGGAGTTAAGCACTCCCCCACGGACTAAACCCAGATGTTCACACCCTCCAGAACTTCATGCCACTGGGTACCTTAAAGGGGGGGTGGATTTTGCGGTGCTTTATCGTCCGCCCTTAAGCATCCTACAGCGGACACGTGACTACCAGACATTCAGACACTTTTCAGAGTGTTAGATTACCAGGGGCACGCTTGTATGGAAGTCATTCACTTGGGGTTTTTGTCCGAGGCAGTGTGCTTAAGTATGGGTCCCCGGGCCCTCACGGTATGCATGGAGATGCGAGCACTTTGACTTTACTTCCACCCATGAATAAGTGTTTCAAAAGTGGGTAAAAGTGCATCACCGGTGCTGATGGAAATCATCCATGCTGGTGCCCCTGGGAACCATACAGTGGGCTAAAATAGAGTTTTTTACCAAGAGCCTGTCAGGTTTGGGGAAAATAGGACCCAAGTGCAGTTAAAAAATACAAAAAAGGTTCGTTAACGAAAAGCGAGCTTTATTATAAAAAGTGTTTAGAGTCGGAGAGGTCCTGATAATTTATTCCGGTAAATTACTCTGACCTACTAATTGACCTTTCCGAAGTTATTGAGTCTATGTAAGTTTGCTGCTTGGCTCAGATCCACCAACGTCAGCAAGATCTCACCTCTTCCTAACCCCCCGAAGAACCAGGTTCAATTAACTGCTGTTTCAATTCAGACAACTCTTTTTAATCTGTTTAAGCGATCCCGAAGGATTTTGATATCAGTAAATGGAGTGTGCTCCTACCTAAGTGTGTGTGGCAGGGTGCAGTCTTACCTTTTAAGCAGGAGAGGAGAGCACAGGTGTCTTTTAAAGTATCCCAATCCAACAGGTGGGATTCAGTTTATTTGAAGAAAAATAGGTCCAAACTAATACAGGGTTTTTACCTTCTCTCTTTACAACATTATAATCATACTAAAAACCTGGCGCTGTGATCATGTTCAAATATGAAACTTTAATTCACAGTCTTACATTTATTACCAAAATGTTTTAATTTCAACTGCCCATTTCAGTTGTGACATTTTAAAATTCTCCCGATAGAATTTAGAGGTATTTCCTCGTAAAAAGACCGGTGACAATAAAAAGCGCATTCAACTTTTCATTCACCAATCAATTCACATCAGTTTCATACCTTTTTTCCGACACAGACGGCGGGTATAACATTTAAAAACCCATACCTGTCCGCAATTTCGGAGGGAGAGAGTTTCCTCACAGATGGCGGTATTTATAATATTCACAAACACATCTCTCATCAAATCATTCCACTCAGCCAACAACCAAGAAATTCGAGAGATATTTACCCCGTCTGACAGAACCTTACCGAGAGCTAGTTACCCAGCTCTGGAGCACACAGCCTACCGGGAGAGAGTCTACCAGGGGTTAACCCCCCTCTCTCTCGCGCTCTCTCAAAAAAACAGTCTCTTTATACTAAAAAAACTGGATCGAAAACCCAAAAAACAAACTCCTCATCTACACCCAATTTGTGGAAAACTGCGCATGCCCTCTAATGTACAAGGCTGAACATGCCTCGACATGTTCCATAGCTTTATGACATAAGACCCACCTTCTCATGTTAGTGTGAAAAGGACATGAACTCTTTTTGGCCTTTAATGTGTTTCTCCTTAAGCCTGGAGCCCCCCCTCCCTGTGGACTGCTGTCACAGGAGAGGAAGAAAACGGCCTACTGTTTTGTTTATACTGTAACTATAGAAAAATCTAAAATATGAAGCATTTTCATTGTGGGTTATACAAGAATATAATTGATTATATTTGATTATAACTAACTTTCGTTTTTAAGTATTAAACATACTATGAAAACTCACAACACCCTCTTTTCAAAACACAAAGTTATCAAAATAGCAACAGAAAAAATTGTAAGCACATACATATTCAAAAACCGTCAAGAAGCATTCTCATTATGGGTTTATACAAGAATATGATTGATCATGTATGATTTATTAATTAACTTTCGTTTTTAAGTATTCACTTCATACCATGATCTCAATTAACTTTCGTTTTAAGTATTCACTTCATATGAAGATCTCAACAAAAGGCATGAAAAAACAAGTAAAAAACAAGAAACTAATTAACAGAAACAAAACCGGGGAGCACGACAGACAGGAACAAACTTACATACGGGAACAGGCAGGAGACACGGACAAGCATGGGTGACAGTGACATGAAATGACGACGAACAGACATGGAGCACAGGGGAAGACAAAACTAAATACACAGAAGGGTAATCACAGGACAAGACACAGCTGGGCAGGGGAGGAAAAACACAAGGGCAACAGGTGAACACACTCAGACAATTGGACACACCAGGGAAACTAACGACAGGGGGAAAACACAGGGAGTGGGACCAGACAATACACAAGGAGGAAAACATTTCAAAACAAAGGTGGAAAATATAAATCCAAAACCATGACAGAACCCCCCCCCCCCCCCTCAAGGGACGGATTCCAGACGTCCCAAAAAAAAAAAAAACCTCTAGAAGGGTGGGTGGAGGGGGTCCGGAGGAGGGACTCGGACGGACATCCCAGGGCAAAGCATAATCCATGGAGGGGATCTCGGGTGGACGGCCAGGGGGCAAGGCAGAGTTTGAGGAGGGGGTCTCGGGCGGACGGCCCGGGGGCAAGGCAGAGTTCGAGGAGGGGGTCTCGGGCGGACGGCCCGGGGGCAAGGCAGAGTCCGTGGAGGGGGTCTCGGGCGGACGGCCCGGGGGCAAGGCAGAGTTCGAGGAGGGGGTCTCGGGCGGACGGCCCGGGGGCAAGGCAGAGTTCGAGGAGTCAGGGCGAAGAGCACGGCTGGGGAACTCAGGAGGCCGGGTTTGAGGGCGAAGGCCACGGCACTCAGGGGGCCGGGCTCGAGGGCGAAGACCGCACAGCTCCGGAGGACGGACAGGACCCGGTGTCGGCCGGACAGGACCCGGTGTCGGCCGGACAGGACCCGGTGTCGGCCGGACAGGCCCCGGAGCCGGTGGGACAGGCGTAGACGGGATCCTGGACATGACCTGGGCTGGTGTCAATGGGACCCCAGATGGAGCAAGGGCTGGTGTAGATTGGACCACCAACTTAACAGAGCAAGGAGTAGGCAGGGCCCCCGGCAAGACAGGTGACAGCGGGGCCTCCAACGGGACAGGACACAGGGTTGGCAGGACCCCCGGCAGAAGAGTAGTCGGCGGGACCTCCAACGGCACAGGACACAGGGTTGGCAGGACCCCCAGCAGGAGATTAGTCGGCGGGGCCCCCAACGGGACAGGACACAGGGTTGGCAGGACCGCCGGCAGAAGAGTAGTCGGCGGGGCCTCCAACGGCACAGTACATAGGGTTGGCAGGACCCCCAGCGGAACCTCCAACGGACCAGGACATTGGGTAGGGACTTGAGAGGGAACTCGGGAGGAGCCTCGAGAGGGAACTCGAGAGGAGACTGGAGAGGGAACTCGAGAGGAGCCT